TTTATTTTTTTTTTTTTTTTTTTTTTTTTTTCAATCCCCCCTTTTTTTTGTGCCTGATATCCCTATGTTTGATATATACGCTTGAACTATAGGCGTACTGCCAACGACAAGACTGTAGATAGAATGACTACGAATTATTTTAGGTCAAGCGGCGGAACGAGACGTTCATAAGTTACACTATCGCGATGACACAGGCATCTCACGCATAGCGGATGTCTTGTACCATTAGCCTTGTACTATGAAAAAAAATTCAACCAGTTTCAAGCAATTGAAAATGCCTTGACTCTAACTAATATTAGATACTCGATACCGCCTAATTGCTAAAGATACCACCCTTTTATCCTGCCTAACCATATAGAGGAAGCTCCTATATATACACCCTATTTTATACCTGTATCCTCAAGCCTTAAGTTATTTCTTAACCACTACTCTTCTCTCTCTCTTCTATAGTCTCCTGTTTAAACACCCTCCTATTAAGTGCTGTAAAGGGGTGGCGTGGTCCTGGACGGAGGACGTGTCGCTAGTTCAGGGTGTGTCTGCTCCAAGACGCCAGGAGGTGGCAGCGCAGGGGCTGGCGGGGTGAGGCTAAATCGGCGAGGAGGGCTGTTCTAAGTATATCATTGTAGCACGCAATATTGGATGAAAGACTTTGGTGACGGGAGGTCCAGGAATACGGAGTACACTTCTTCCAACGCTTCCAAGGGGCGTTCTGAATACTAAGGATGGACCAGCCAGGGTCGACGGGAATTCCATGTGGACGTTGCATCGGGACAAACGCTGTGAGACAGGCCAGAACTCTTCTGGGAGAAATATGGTGTGACACACGGTATGACCAAGCCCTTTTTTTTTTCCTTCTTCTTCTTTCGGTTGTTTGTTGTGTCGTCGCCGTTGTTATTATTTTTACCTTATTTTATAATTTATATTATTTCCCTTGATGCTCTGACAAGACGGGCCTAGACGGCCTTCCGGTGGATGAAGACGGACATGTTGTGTTTGCGAGATCGTGTACTCCGTAACTACTGCTGGAGGGAGCGAGCCGGCCATGGCTGGCTGAACTGACTGCCTGTCTTCTGCCTGTCTCTTGAAGAGGATGGGAGAAAAAAGGGTGAGGGATCAAGGTACCCCTATCTTATATCCACACCCAAGGAAGTTCTCCGTGTATCAATCAGTCCGTCGTCGCCCAGGCAGCCAGCAGTCAGCAGCCAGCAGCTCCATCCGCCGTAACTTATTTTCTTGACAATACTCCGTACTGAAACCAAGAGATAACTAGTTAACGCTGAAAGGTCGATCAAAGGGGGGAGAAGTCCTTGGAGCCCTTCGATCCCGGGATGCGTCCAGGTTGTGTGTTTCTTCCCGCTTCACCGACCTTTTGAGTCGCACCGGCATGGGCGGAGGGCGAGGGCGAGAAGCGCATGTTCGACTTCGGCTTCCCCTGTCGACGGCCCTGCTGCTGCCTGGCTGACTGGCTGCCGTGCGCCCTCCGCCCGCTGGATGTGTCTGTCTGGTCGAGTCGAGGTGCTGGCGAGTGCGCAGAGGAGGATAACCGCAGCGCCTGTGTACTGTGATGTACATTACTCCGTATAATATTAGTTATAGCATGCTGCTGTTGCGCTGCCGTACCCGCAACTAGTCAACTAGTTAACTGCTTGGTTGCTTCGCTTTCCGCTAGGGCTGGACCTTGGAGCTTGCAGGGGGAACAGGAGAGGATCCCAGGCGGCCGCTGTATTTATCATCGGGAGTTTTTCTTCTCCTGTCGTTGGTCGGGCTGCTCCAACTAGCCACGGCGTCCCGTCAGGAGAGATTTTCAGCTGTTGACTAACTATTAGTTATTTAGCAGGGCGGCTTTTGCTCCCCTCCATCCCACCTCACCTCACCTCACCTCACCTCCAACCTCACCTCTCACTCCCTACCATCTACACACTCGCACTCACACACACACACACACACACACTCTCTCTATATATATATATACATCCTCTCTATCTCTCTTTAGATCTACATCTGTCCGCTGCGACGCTCGACTCTCCTGCTCCCACCGTCTCCCTTCACTCCGTCTAGCATGAGCCTTCCCCCCTCCGCCGATAACCAGCAGGCTTATCGCGACAAGTCCAATGCCTCTTCCACCGCCCAAGTCGCCGGGGACGCCGCCCCCTCTGCCTCCCGCACCGCCGAACTCGCCAGTCTTAAGGTGAAGCTGCGCTCATCTCTGCGCCAGTTCCCGGATTTCCCGTCTCCAGGCATCCTGTTCGAGGATATCTTACCCATCTTCGCAGACCCCGCCCTCCACGAGTCGCTCATCAGGGGCCTCGAGCTGCATCTGCTCGAGACCTACGGTGCAGACCAGAAACCAGATGTCATCGTAGGCCTCGATGCTCGCGGGTTTCTCTTCGGCCCTACCTTGGCCCTGAGACTCGGGGCTGCCTTTGTCCCCGTCAGGAAGCAGGGAAAGCTCCCTGGACCTGTCATCACCCAGGAGTATCAGAAGGAGTACGGCAGTGACTTCTTCCAGATGCAGAGCGATGCCATCAAGCCGGGCCAGAAGGTCATCGTAGTCGACGACATCATTGCAACTGGTATGTTCCTTCACTTCCTCCCCTTCTTTTTTTTTTTTTTTTACTTTTTTTTTTTTCTTAAAAAAAAGAAAGAAAGAAATACCCCTCCATGCTAAATCTAAATGTTTTTCTACCAGGTGGCTCTGCATATGCAGCAGGCTCCCTCGTACAGAAACTTGGAGGCAATCTCCTCGGTTTTGTCTTCATGCTTGAACTCGACTTCCTCAAGGGCCGTGACAAGCTCCCTGCCCCGGTCTATACCCTCCTCGCAACTCAAGAGAGCAAATAAATTATGATACACGTGTCCAGTCAACCAGTCAACACCCAGCCATGCATGCCTGCGCACTATAGACGGGCTTTATCTCAGAAAGTCAACCCTACCTTCGATTCGTCTGCTAGAACCAGACCCAAAACGCAAAGCCCAGCCAGAACTAATTCTAATCAATACACACACACTCACACACGCCTCGCTTCGAAAGAGCTACCGTGTTCGATTTCCACCTGGGATTCAATTTTATACCATGCTATGTTTTACACAGATTAGTGCTCGATTTGACTCTGCAGCCTATTTGTTTGGGACCCCTGAGCAGCAGATGGCATGGGCATACTAGACCAAGATCTCCTCCGCCGCCCCTTTCTTTTATATCTCAACAAAAAAGAACTTCAAGTTACACCCCATGTTTCCCCATTGCTGTTATTCCCACTGGTTTTCTCTCTCTCTCTCTCATTTTTTTTACTTGATAAAGGCAAAAATTTCCTTCTATGACCCATAATATTATCCTTTCCCCTAGGGATTAATAATGACATGACATAAATGGCTATTGTTGCGGCGATTGGAGTTATTTCGTTAGGCCTGAAAGGTAGTTATCCTCGAAACATAAAACAGCCAACTAAGTGGTGCAATTAGTAGTCAACAGGCAATTTCAATAAAGACAGCGTCTAGCTACAATGGTTTTTCCTTCCAATAGACTTGTCAACGTTCCGGGCATCTGGGTTAATGGAGGTAGTATAAGTTAGCTACCTAGTTGACTAATAATAAATAGCGACCCAGGCAACTGCCACATATCAGTAACCTCTCTCCTCTCGACCATCGCCTCCAGTCAGCTCAAACGAACCCAGAAAAGCCATTAAGAGCAGTCAGAAACAGCGGTTAAAGTGATAAGATCGTTTCCCAACAGGCGTCCGCTGAGACCACAAATCTGCCGCGAATATTTTTTCTCTCGCTTGAAACAGAAGCCTTCTTCGACGAAATGTACAAGGACCTTATTGACAGCCTCCTTTCGAAAGCAAAGGTCCAGCGAGCAAAGAAACTAGACGGGGCTCTAAGATATCTCTCGGAATATACGCCTGACGCGATATTCGCCACTGATGCTGCTCTCCTGAAAACAAAGTATGCCACAGTTCTCGAGAAAATAATCTCCTACGTTCGGAGTGGCGGTACAATCGTGTTCGGGGCCACCTTTAGTTCCTTCGCTAAGCCGGACCATCTCAATCGTTTCTTCGAGTTCAGCTGGGGTCTCCCCTGGAAATCTGGGAGCTATCATCGAACAACTGTGCATGTCAATACGAATTGCCAGGGACTGTCCATGGAGAGGTTACAGACATCGTATAGCCAGAAAGCTCTCTATCTCAAGAATGTTCCGCCTGAAAGCAGACTTTATGCGGCAGACGAAGAGTCAACGATAGAATCCCATGTCTTCTACCCGGAACCTATTCACGATCTCACTCAAGCTGCCATTGTGTTTGCACCCTATGAGAGCGGCCGAATTGGGTATATCGGAGACGTGAATGGGGAAGATGGATCCCACGCTGTTATCCTGGCCATGTGCAAGCTGTAGTTGGTGGGCATGTTTGATCTACCTCTGTGCGATGCCCATTGATACTAAAACTGTGTTGTCTGACTGCTCCCAAATTTCTCGATTAGTTGGCAGCGTTGATGATGTTCAATCATGTCAAGGCGTTTGAATCCGGTTCCAAGATGCTTTCCGTGTATTTATAATATTAATTCGTCGATTCGGTGGCAGTTGCTTGTGGGTATAGATTAAAGAGACGAGCGACGTCCTATACATTTGCATGATGATAAGATATCCATCAACAATTTTAGCCTTCCGAGGCCATCAAGAGCCCCCATCTTCTAGAGAATTATGTATGTATCGAAATGGGCTAAATATACAGCAAGTATAAGTATCCATCTGGCAAAGATGGAAGTAGTTACGGAGGCCCAGTTCAAGTAATGGTCATCTTTATTCACACCAGCAATAAAGCATGTACTACTAGCTATGGTTAGGCAAGGGGTCCGAGGGGTCAGCAGATAATGTTGTATTCAATGACCCTCTACAACCACGGCAACGAATTCATGTTTTGGGTTCGATAAAGGTGGAAGCAGTTATTACTTATCATCCATACCTTTGACCTCGCCAGTTATACCACCTTCTTCATCAACCCTTTTTTCCAGACTCTCAAACTTTAAACCAACAGGATTATTCTCGATGCGCGATGGGAACTCGTCAGTACCAAGAGTAGTAGAGTGTGCCCATGGCTTGAGGGAAATTTCCTTGCGAATTGTAGCTGCAAAGCAATTGTTCCACTGCATACGCGGGTAGTGCTCAATAACATCCTTGACTGTTTCCGCTGAAAGCAACTGTTCATGCCCTCCAATGTTGTCTTTTTCGGTGTTAGCAATATCAAAATTGGGGTTTCGACGGAATAGATGCTGAAGAAATGTAGACACACCAAAAATAGTGGCCAGCTGAATCAATTGCCCCAAAGCGGTGATCTTCCCGGTCTCACGTATGTCCTGGTGCCGCATAATAGCCTCAACGACGCTTTCAGCAAGCGCATTTGATGCAGTGACTCTTTTATCAGGATCAATGATGGTGGAAGCATGCTCATTAATAGGGTATTGAAGCAAGTCCATGGCTATAAAGCCGCCATAAAGTTCAAAACTCATACGAGAAGCTCGAAGGTGATCTTCTGTGGTTCCAATATCGTGTAGCATGCAAGTAATAAAGTAAGTTTCGTCACTGAATGCCCAGGCTGGGAACGCATAACGCTTCATGGCAATTCCAAAGTGATATACTCTCATAGAGTGGTGGAATGTAGGAGTAGGAAGATGGACTTTAGCATACCCCTGTATGCGTCTTGCTAGGATTGTCTGGGGAATCGGGGTTGCAGAGACTGGTATTACTGGAGGTGGAGGCATATCCCGAAGCCCAATCTGGTCGAAGAGCTTCTCCGCAGACGCATCAACAGCAGTGAAGCCGAATATATCAGCTGGGCCTCCGGGAATTGGTGGCATGGTGCTGGTATTGGTACCTAGTGGCAACTTCAAGCCTAATTTGACAAAGGTAACTAACTAGTTAAGAGTGCAAGAAATGCGTTCGAAGTCAACAGCCCGTCAGGATGCGCTATTATTGGGAATATGGCAGCAGTTTATACTAAGCCAGCCTTCTATAGCCATGTTTATGTGTTTTTATGCCTCCCGCATTGCTCTCCGCTCCTCACATTCCGTCATAATTTGCTGCGAAGTTGGGAATGACGTTGAACAAGAGCGCGACGGCTGAGTAATATGGAGTTTAGCAAATTAGTCAACATTATATAATCACTGGCAACTAAGTTAATCTTACATAATATTTTACATCACATGACCGGTCACGAGCCCTGGCCGGGCCAACTTAGCTAGCGGAAAACTATTTCAACGTCGAGATTTCTTTCTCTTTCATTTTCTTTCTTTCTTTTCTCCAACGCGAGCGTCTTCCTTGTTGCTCTGCTTCATGGAAGAAGACTCTGTAAGAAAGTCGCGGTCGATAAGTAGTGTGTCCTCTTATCACCCGAAAAGATGACTCCTGCAGTGGCCGAAGCTGCTAGACAAAATGACGAGCTGAAGATTCTGGCGAGAGGATTTGTTGCACTCCTGGAGATTGCACGAAAGTTGACTCGGCAGGAGCAAGTGCTTCAGAGCCGGCTTCAGTATGCTTTTGATGAGGTATGCATACCGCTCTAATGTACTACTGTACTTCTCTCTTCCCACTTATCATCACCCCCAACCCCCACTGCCAAATGATGAGAAAAATCCGATTAGCTCTAGATCAAGAGTTGCTCACGCAGCTATGAACGATTATCATGTATTATCTGATGGCTTCATAAACTAGTGTTGATATGTCTTTTTATTGTATCGAACATCATAGCTAACTTGCTTTGAACAGTATCAAAAGCTTGCAAGCACGCTCCCCGAAGGATCAGATAATAAACTAGATACAATCTTAGGTTCTACTCATCATCCACCCAGTCTTGATGAGACTGCCACCGACAATGTCGACTGGGTCACCAGTATGGAGAAGACAGGCTATATATCCTCTACGGAAACAAAGAACATCACCGAGAGCTTAGAGATCTCTACGGCTGCCTTACGCAAGCTAGAAAATACACAAGACTCCAGTACTTTGCGAACTTGTCCCTTTGATCATGGAAAGCGTAGAACTTCGATGGAACATGATTTCACGACAAATGGCATCAAGGGTGCACTTGGTTGCCCTTTCAAAAACTCCAACTCATCGGCCGATGCAGGAGAAGAAACAAATATAAATGGTGAAAGCTGTCAGAATGACGACGGAGACCCCATTAAGCTGGAGAAGATTGGAGAAGGTGTGCCTTCAACAGTTCACTCCTCGTCGGCACGCTGCCCCATCCGGTACCTGGGGGATCATTCTCCTGAGGAACTGGCAGAATACTTTCTGAACCACAAGCATGAGATTCCAAGAAGTCACTCAGTTTGTATTCGCCGGTACCAGAATAATCCCCAGACAAGCCGGAAAATTGATGCCAAATATGGCAATGTGATAAATATGGTGAAAGGGCTTGGCGAATACCATCAGCCTTACCTATCAGTCCCTCATGAAATAGACGAAACCCGGCAGGGAGATACGGATCCTGTTGCTCAGCCCAGCTCAGTCGAGCGAGTTGAAAAATGGGCAGAAGATGTGAGCAATAAGTCACCGCCGGCGGGCTCAACGTCTCCTGAGGAAATCGAAACTGCTGCACCTGCTCCGGACGAACACCAGGGCCTCACAAATGGCGACTATGACCGACAGGGCCACTTCGAACGCCCTCTACGCGATGTACGTGTAGGGGAATCGCCGAGTCGCCCTTGGGGTATTCATGTACCTCCTGAACAGCCTGCCGTAGACCATACCTTTACCCATCCACCCGAGTCACACTATGAGAAGCCGGAAGTGGTAGATGAGGAACCAACGATGCTTTTGCCCTCTCAAGGCCGCCTAAGTCCTCTTGGACAAGCGTCGACGTTCGGGAATGACGCAGAAGCAGAGGCTGAAGCCAATGCCACTCTCGATGCGGCTGTGGACGAAGACGAACAACCTGGCCCTGAAATTGATGAGGCAAGCAGCCATCGTCGTATTCACTCGCATCATCAAATGCCGCACACAAATACCCAAACAAATACTTACTCCGTCCCGCGATCAAATCTTTCCCCAGAGGCGCCTATTACCCATATACCCAATCCACAGCCGAGAATGGTCTTTAACGGGCCGGTATTTTTTGGGTATACTGCCGAAGCAGCAGCCATGCTGTTGGAAAAGATGGGCAGTAAATAGACAAACTGAATCCGGACTAATTTGTTAATTTTTCGAAGTTTCCTCCCTCTCCTTGTTAGTGAAAGCTAGCATTTGAATATCTGTGATTTAGCCATGCCCCGCACTAAATTTTTTTCACATATTTTTGTTAACAGCGTTTTATTTCATGATTATTGACTTCATGTACTACGAGAAATTTTGCTGTCGTTGCTGTTTTATATACCCAACTTAGCGAGTCTGCATGATAGTCTGTTTTATATTTTGCATATCAGATCCTTGGCTCATTAACCAGGAGAAAAGATGGCGGAATAGAAGGTCGTTTACCAAATTACAAGTGCAAGCGGGTGTGATACCTAGAGCCAGATGCATGCTGATCATATCGTCATTCCCGTGGTTAAAACTGATTAATTAGGCGGCAATACTCTCATCCACGCAGAGCATGATCTATTTAAATGAGCAAGCTAGCAACAGCAAAGGCAAGCAAGGCAGTAGCCCCCATGCTAGCAGCGCCTGCGCTGGAGATGGCACCCCCACTGGATGGCATTCCCTCTCCAGAAGTGGGCGCTGAAGTGATAGCCACGCCACCAACTCCGGTAGAGTTGACGCACATACCCTGGGCGAGGAGGTTTTTAGGTGAACTGGAGAATGTGATATCCATGCACTATATACCCGTATCATGTTAGCCAATTTATTTCTTCAAGGTCTCTCTGTCTCCTTGCCTACGTCGGGGAAAATATATGTACATACATTGTACAGCGCTGCACCCCCCGCTGACGCCTGGACAATTTGCAGGCTTGCGTTTGTGCCGTCTTTGATACCTAGACCTGCTGGAATGGAGATCTTCGGGAAACAAAAGGTGCCGTTTCCAGTCTGGTTGAAGCCAGGGACGAGTGTGTTATTGAAGATGATAGAGTCATCATCTCCCAAGCCGAGGTTGACATAGGTCAAAGCCCAATGGTGAGTGGGCGTGAAGAGGATAGCACCACCGTCAACGGGCCACTGAGTACGATTCGTGGTGACATTGACGCCGCCGCCTGGAGTCATTGTCAGCCGTGGGGGAAACCTCCTGATTTGCAACGATGCTATGCGACTCACATGGACGAGTATACTGTGTTTTGAAGGAGTTCCCTCGCCAGTAAGGGTATTCGACGCGGAAATGGGCCGAGACGATACTCATGCCAAAGGCGAGGATGATCAGAAGCTGGTTAGTGAACATGCTGATGCCTCTTCTCTTCGTCTTTCGTTTGGCATATACAAGGCGTGTTAAGGCTGTTAGAAGATGATGTAGGGAGATAGAGATGATGGGGTGACAAAGAGGGCCGTCCCCCCTTTTTATATAGACCTGGCCGCGGCGGAAGGTAGCTTATTACGGAGGACATAGTTACTAACGGCCTAAGCGAAATTTCCCAGACTATAGCCGGGGAGCACGAAGATATACTTTGTATGGACGGGACACCCATTTTTACGCAGTAAGCGAGCTACCGAGGCCGGCAGTGCTATCACCATGTCCTCCGTCTCTCTCATCCCCCCTAATATAAAAAGGAATAAGCGAAAGCCCCCTCTCCGGGACCAAAGTTAGTCACTTTAATGCGCTCAAACCAGCTCGAACGCGGCAAAACTTGGCAGTGGTTATCACGTGATGTTAATACCCGGCTTGGCACGCTCGACGGGTAGTCTAACCCGTTTGGGGCTGTTTGACGACATTCGCCACCCCCACGGCGCCCGCTCCATCCTCTCCCCAGGCCGAAGAGAAGAGCGTCTACCACGTTCACTGCGTCCAGTACGCGGTCGGCACTGAACATACCCCCCCATACCCAGGTACCAGCAGAGGCATCGTCTGAACTTGATTTGCCATAGAGCAGCATGATACTTTCGACGGTCTCCAAAAAACTTGGGTACAAGAATATCTTCTGGCAATTAATAGGGAATAGCTAAAATCAGTAACTCTAGGAAAAGAGTCGCCCCGTTGGAGTTTAAAGCAGCTAAGTCAAACTAGGAAATCAAGTGAAGAAAAAAACCAAAAGGGATTTCACTAAGGACCAAGAGAAGAACGAACACGAGAGGAGGAAAAGGGAAGATGGGGCGAGGAAACAATACCGAGCTACCACATGGTTGGCTCTTGGGAATGCTGTGCAGCACATCATCTCTGCACTGCCAAAAGACCATAATCGCCAGACAGAGTCATTTATCTACAAAGATAACCCCCAAAGTCAAGCACTGTTGGCAAAACTGTCTTGAAGTGATAATAACAATAGCATATTGGCTCAATACTTACACACCCAAGAGCGGGGCTTTGGTGATTGGGATGCTGAATGAAATCGGGTGTTGGCATCCTACATTGCTACGGAGAGGCTTGACCACCGGAATCCCAAAGTTGGCTAACAATATCGGTCAGATTGATATTCCACTTCCTCATTTGAACGGTTGCACACTTACAAATTGGCCAGTCTCCAGTTTCGAAAGTCTGGAGATATACGCTAAGATACGGTTTTCCTTTCCTGTATGAGAAGGAGATATAGGCGTGCAGGTAGTTGAGGGTCTCTTGGTCCGCATGCGGGCTGTTGGTTGAATCAAAATTAGTGTTCTGTGACCTACGACCACAAACCGGTTGATTGACTTACTAATAGGCGCGCAGGCTGTCCTTGTACGTCTAGGCCATGTGGTTCCAGCCTCGTCTTTCGAAGAAGGTCACAAGCCCGTCAGCTACGCGACCATCATTCAGGCCGAATGTTGTGAAGTATACTTGTGGCTCAGGCATGGCTTGGTCATGATGGAGCGTGTAGTTGGCCATCAGGGGAAGCTGCTCATCGGGGATTGTTCCCAACTGCAAGAAAGGCTCGGGGTATTCTCGCATTCCAGGTGGTAGTTTGATGAGATCCCACAGCTCTCGCAGCATCTCAAGTCCTGCTAGGGTTGACGCATCGTTCAATCGGCCTCCCATCGTCCACAAATCCTCCATTGCTTCCAATGTAACGTTGAGTTCCAATATATAGATCTTGACACGGGACTTGCTAGGATCAATCAGGTCGCAAGAAAGCAACCGGGGAGATGCGGTGCTGTTAGGACCCTTGGAATCAACATACTCCTCAAGAGCGCGTAGAGGAGCTTCCAGTGATGGGTTTTGCCTGCACAAACGATAAACGGAGTCAAACATTAATGTCTTGATCGATTTTCCAGTGGCAAGAGCCTTGAGAGCAGGGTAGATATAAGTCTTCAACACGAAGTTTCCCCCTTTCAGGTCAAGGGCCAGCTTGTTCTGGGTTCGGATCTGACCTCCAACAAGATTGTTTTCCAAAAGATAAGCAGAGTCCTGGTCATCGACTGTGAGGTCCTGCTTCAGATGCTTGAAAAACTCAAGATCGATACCCTTCTGCAGTGGCATCAACCGGTCGAGTGCATCCCATATGGAATGAGTGTTGAAAGGGTCTTTAACCGTGCCAGTCGCTGAGTTGATGGGCTCGTAGGTATATCGTACCAGTGACTGTGAGCAGTTTAAACTCAGCTCAAACGGGGTTCCATATCGAGTTAGGATGCTCAGCCATCGATTGTTTATCCGTGTTGGGTAGACTCCTAGGAATGGGATGACGTGGTTGAGGAAAATACCCAAAATTTTGTACTGAGAGTGAAGGTCATATCCGGCAACCCTGAGCATCTCAGCAAACATTGGTGCCGTGCTATGCCACCATAGCTTCTGTTCATGGTCGGGGAAATCGATAAAGTCGGATATAGTCTTGTAGACGATCGAGCCGGAGCAGTTAGGGATTTCGATAGAGCCCATTGCGATTGTGTTGAACTAGACTTGGGACGTCTCAATAGTGAAAATGATGCTGAGGATGAGTGTCTACCGGAGAGACCTGGTCACTCTGAGATAATTATAGCCTGGGACAGGACCACAATCAATAGTTGGGTGCAAAATTTAGACCAACTTCTGCATAGAACTTCATCCTTAGAACTCTGAAGATCACCCAACCACAGGGCTGGCAAGAGTTGTATGGTTCAAGTTAGTGCATCTTACGCATTACTTACAACCTTTCGAGCTGGCCTGATACCAAAAGAAATGTTCCAGTATGCCCATCGTCTTTTCAAATTTAATCGCCATATTATCAATAACCACAGGGCATATTAGAGGTGGGATGCGTACATATTTCTCATGCAACACGCTCTCACTCTCATCCCTGTCTGGACTTTATTTACTTTTTTTTCTTCTTTCCTCTGCTTTAGCTTCGGGCCGCTTGTGTCTTTCATCCTAGTGGAACACGAAACCTCTCAGAAAGATTTTGAGTCTGATATTGAGCTCTAGATCGACCGAAGCAATGCATGCATGCTTTCTCCCAATATTTGGATGCTGCAGCCCAGCCAATTCATTACAGGCGGAGTAACTTAAAAATGGATCATTGACTTGTAAGCCCAATGTGTTCTCTTGTATGACCGCTAATTATGGTATTTAGAGGAGCAATGTGACAATCCTAAACGGAGAATTCCGCTTTGCTCATCCAGGGATCTCTCCGCTTGTTTATTTAACAGCTGTGCCACAATTTGGATTATCATTTTTGAGCGCTGTCCAAACTTGCAGGATGCAATTTCTACTCTGGTCGACTGGGTTGGTCGCTCTTCTGAGCTGGCTAATTTACACGCAGGAGACGCAGTCGGCGTCTTGTCGGTGCCGGCCATGGGAATCGTGCTGGCCATCCGAGGAACTCTGGAACTCATTCAACACTTCGGTTGACGGGAAGCTTCATCGTTTAAGACCAGCGGCGCATGTTTGCTATGGGCCAAGTTTCAACAGGAGCGCCTGCGATAATATCCTGCTATTGTCAAGGGATAGTGGGTGGAGGGCTTCCAATCCAGGTAGGTGAAGCTCCGGCTATTCGACAGTACCTTTTACTGTTTTTGACTAACATTAATGATGCTCACAGGTGTGCTGCAGGATTGGGTGTGGGAGGCTGGTGAAACAGCCAACGAGAGCTGCCCAGTGGGGTCGTTGCGGACGGCCTCTGCCGTGAATTCTTGTCACCAAGGCCGCATCCCTCTTTTTACAGTCGGAGTGGAGTCCACCAAGCAGGTCCAAGAGGCAGTTCGGTTTGCAAGGAAGCACAAGCTTCGCCTTGTCATTCGTAATACTGGACATGATCTAGCGGGGAGATCGAGTGCCCCGGACTCCTTTCAAATCCATACTCATCGCTTACAGGAGATTCAATTCCATGCTGATATGCGACTGGATGGGTCGAATACATCACTTGGACCAGCAGTGACTGTTGGTGCAGGCGTAATGATGGGGGATTTATACGCTCAAGCTGCTCGCCATGGTTACATGGTGCTTGGCGGAGACTGCCCGACAGTCGGGGTAGTTGGAGGTTTCCTCCAGGGAGGTGGGATTTCTGACTTTCTAAGTCTAAACCAAGGTTTTGGTGTTGACAACGTGCTCGAGTATGAGGTTGTTACAGCAGATGTAAGTGCCTGAATCACTCTTACCGCCCATCACAACTAATTTTTCATTCTAGGGAGAGCTCGTAGTTGCTAATGCACTCCAAAACCAAGACCTTTTTTGGGCTCTCCGTGGCGGTGGAGGCGGGACATTTGGGGTTGTCACTCGAGCTACCATGCGTGTCTTTCCGGATGTTCCCGTTGTGATATCTGAGATTCTTCTTGAAGCCCCCCAAGCCATCTCGTCATCATGGACCCAGGGGCTGTCGATAGTCCTTACTGCTTTACAGTCGCTTAACCACGATAATGTCGGTGGGCAACTAGTTATTGCAGTCCTGCCCAATCTTGCAGTTCAAGCAAGCATCAAGTTTTTTTTTCTTGACGCAACTGAGGCAGCCGTCATCGATCGTCGCATGAAACCATTCCTAACCAAACTCAGCCGCGCCAACGTCAAATACACATATTCGTCCAAGAACTTACCGCATTTCAGTTCCAATTACAGACAGGTCCCAGATATTCACTCTGACAACGATTACGGCGTCCTTGGATCTACTGTCGCGATTTCCCAACAACTATTCGACTCCCCCCAGGGACCGGAGAAAGTTGCAAAAGCCCTTGCAAACCTCCCTGTGTCTGCTGGTGACCTTATCTTTACCAGTAATCTTGGTGGTCGTGTTATTCGTAATGGAGAACTGGCAGAAACGTCTATGCACCCTGCTTGGCGGTCGGCGTCGCAACTCATTAATTACGTACACACAGTCGAACCGTCAATTGAAGGCAGGGCAAAAGCTCGCGAGAGATTAACCAACACCCAAATGCCTATGTTATATGCGCTCGATCCTAATATAAAGCTATCGTACCGCAACGTCGGGGATCCTAATGAGAAGGACTTCCAACAAATCTATTGGGGACCGAACTATGGCCGTCTATCTAACATCAAGAAGAAATGGGATACTGATGATCTCTTTTTCAGCAAACTTGGTGTTGGTAGCGAGAGATGGGACTCTGAAGGTATGTGTCGGAAGAGTCGGAATGCACTGCACCAGAAAGTGACGAGGTTTATTTCTTTTCCTACTTCTATCTTGAGGGGATAAACACTCTGAAGGTAGCTCGCCGTTAGAACAGCTCTGTTTACTTCATTGCATAAGCTATTGTCCGATGATTGAACTTTATTTTAAGGTAACTTTTGTTGCCTGAATGTTATGTCGAGTACTCTGTATCTCCCTGGGCTCTTTCACTTGTAGGCATCTAGTTTTGCAGAAAGCTAGACACACTTCCTCTTGAACTTGAGAGTAAAGACGTTTGTAAGATGTTCCGCCACAGTGTGTAAATACAGTATCCTTCACCCAACCATGATGCCTAATGCTCCTTTTCCCTTCTCTAGCTGAACCCATGTTTGAAATTCGACTGAAGGCTTGTACTATTTACCATTTTTGGGGTAGCAAAGTTACTGAACAAGTTATGATAGGCTCACATTTAAAGTTAAATTTTAGGTTTCGGGATAGTGCTTAAAACGAGCAAACTTTTGTGACACAAAAAAATACAAGGTTGGTGAACCCACTCCTCAAATAACTGGTTTAACTAAGTTATTACTACCGTAGCTAACTAACTAGCGCCAGGCCCACAAACAAACCAAAAATTGGAGTTGGTCCATGCTAGTTTGGACAACACTTCAGCTGGTAGAATGCCACATCACAGCCTTCCTTCGACCACGACTTCACATCGCGTAACCCAGCAGTCCCAAAGAGTTCCTTCCGTTCCTCGGAGTCGTATTTGTAACTGCACCCAAAGCGAACCTTCTCGTGCTTGCCTACCACAATTTTGTCCAGAGGCCGCCCGAGCTTGATGTCTTTTGATCGAGGTACCAATGATGCCTCATGTCTTCCAAGCACGTAATTCCACTCACTGAGGAAATACCAATCCTCAGGATCAAAGACGTTTTCTCCTGCATCCTGCTGGAAGAGAGTGTTGCCATACTTGAGTGACTCCAATGCGAACGGAACGACACCCTCCGCTGTGTAGGCCCGGATAACTTTGGTAGGGACCTTGCAGCTATCTAGTGTCAGTAGAATGGAGCTCTGTGAAGGAGACTCAACCAGAGCGTGAGAGGCAATGTTATGCAAAAATTTCGCCGCGTTTGGACGGGAAAAATTTCCGATTGTTAATCCGAACAGCAAAAGGCAGTGTGGTTGGTCTCGGATAACAAGAGTTTCTTTTAGCCACTGGAGGCCATCATCAAATGTGCCATGAAGGGCAGAAAACTGCACATGAACAAATTGATCGGTCGGTATGGCTTGTAAAGTTGAGGTGAGCTCTGAAAAGCTCAAATCCAGCGCATAGTAGGTGACTTTCTTCTGAGCAGCTTCTAGGGCCTCTAGAAGGTGTATGACTTTGTCTAGGCTTCTGTAATTACCCGATGATTTAGTTCGCGACACTGAAACCTAGGGGTAGATATATAGAATCTTACGCGCTTCCGAGATCAACAACAACACTCCCATCTGCAATCGATGCCGCCATATCTGTAGCCTTGTCCTTTAAGATTTGAATTTCTTCATGTCTGGGATAAAAATCAGACGCATGGGAATAGCGATTCCAATGTTGTATTCCCTCAGTGCTATAGAAAAGGAGCGCTGGAAGGGTCTTTGGGCTGGATAACAGTCCCGCTTCAACTTGTTTTGGGATAGACTCTTCAAATTTGCTTCGACGGATGTCGAGGATTTGAGGGGGATTAATGCTTCCCATGATGGATTCTGTTCTCTCCTCCTCGTTCTGTCTTTTGTCGGGTAACAGTGAAATGGGAGTTGACTGCTGCATTGTGCCTTTTTCTAGATTTAAATACGGATAAACAGCCAACTTCATCCACTGCATTTTAGTCTAACTCCACAAACTTACTACATGTGTTATCCAGAGGCATTCACTCAAATTTGGATTGGATACAATATCCACCCCAGCGCATAATATTTCTCATCACATTTCATTTTCTTACACATATTTACAGGTATGAAAATGCGTTAGTCTTATAATATACAGACAACGCTGTACCATATCTGCAAGCTTGTGTGTTTGGAAAGAGGGGGAGATTATTAGGTCTTGTTTCATCAGCTCATCAGCTCCATATGAGAGGAAATAACACCCAATACAGAAGACATTGGTAACTTCGGAAACTAAACTAAAAAGAAAAAAAAAGTTTGCATCATATTATCGAAACAGCAGCAGGTATAAATACGGGAGTGAGTGAAGAACTATACTTAAGTCTTATCTGTATCCAACTCTATAAACTATTTTGATTCATAGCTAACTAACTGCGGATTGTACTTTACTCTGGGAAGTGCGAAGCATTTCAGAAATCTCTGGGAAAGAAAATCCACTCCACTAGTGATATACTTCCAACGTGCCTATTGAATCTACCTCGATCCCCCTTTATCCCACGAAATCATGTCGTTTGTCTCCTCAAAGATATTTGCTATTACAGGTGGCGCGTCCGGAATTGGAGCAGCAACATGCCGTCTACTTGCGAAGAGAGGAGCAGCTACTCTCTGTGTTGGAGATCTCTGCAGTGAAAACATGAAACTACTGGAGAAAGATATTAAAAAAATCAACCCAGACACAAAGGTCCATTGCACAGTCTTAGATGTATCATCCTCGTCAAATGTTGATGAATGGATACAAGACATTATTACCACGTTTGGAGACCTTCATGGAGCAGCCAACATTGCAGGCATTGCTCAAGGTGCCGGTTTGCGGCAGGCTCCTACCATCCTGGAAGACGACGATCAGCAATGGAAGAAGGTATTCCAGGTAAATCTGGACGGTGTTCTTTATTCCACCCGAGCACAAGTCCGGGCTATGAAGGAATTTTCATCGACGAACCCTGGAGACCGAAGCATTGTCAATGTGGCCAGTATAGCATCGATGTCTCACATGCCTGATGTCTTTGCCTACGGGACTTCGAAAGCAGGATGTGCCTATTTCACTACGTGTGTTTCACAGGACGTGATGCCGTTTGGAATACGAGCTAATACTGTTTCCCCTGATAAGTTTTGAAGTAACACTCTTTGCCCTCGGGTACTTTTCTAACATCATGGGAATGCTTGAAGGAATCACAAGGACGCCGATGCTGCCAAGATTTGTACCGAGTGCGAAAACTCAAGAGGAGGTTGAAGAGACCTACAAGAAAGAGGGCTTCTCTGTTATTGAAGCCGATGACGTTGCGCGGACTATCGTGTGGCTGTTGAGTGAAGACTCCCGTCCCGTCTTCGGAGCGAATATCAATGTTGGCGCCTGTATGCCTTGATTGTTGATTGGGTTAACTAGTTAACTAGTTAGTTGAAATAGCAACACAAATGGGGCCATGAAGCTCGAATGTTGAATCATCGTAGAGATAACGACATGATTTTACATTGTCATTGTGTTACGAAAGCCATTTTTTGGTGCCAGGTTACGGAGTATAATACACGGGGAAAAAAAAACCCCTTTCAGAGTATTTGTTACGTTAGGTAGTTAACTAGCTATTAATTCCCCAGCTCGTATTCGTTAGCTACAAAAGAGATCATGATGCTTAAGTTCCATACTTTCCAATAGTTGGTTGATACCGACCAAACACTGGAATACCGAAGTTTCATACCTAGCAATGCGGTCCGATTACCAGGCTGGTCGGTTCTGAAATGTGGTGACAACCCCTCACATAGTCACAGATGCATCAGAGTGCCCAAAAATAAGGTCCTTGACCTGGTCCTATTTCGAAAGATCAGTAATGAGAACCAGCCACACCGGAAAAGGAACCCCTTGCCAGCAAAAGTTAACTTGCACATCAGGCTGAAACCTGCACGGAGTTCAGAGTCAGGGATTGGCCGCGCGGTGCAACAGCTTCTGCAGGCTGTTCTCAAATATGATTTTGGATTTTAAGTGGGCCTTCGTTGTGTGATTTTGACACTGACGCCTGCATGAACAATTATTCGGAAGTTGTACAACATGATACACCGGTTGGCACGATGGCCTTGGTGGGATATTTTGATTACCACATGGCCCTTTGGACTGGTAACATTCTATATGGCTCATTTTTGAGCCACTGAGATAATCAAAGTATCTCAGATCGAGTAGCCAAACAGGGACATTGTGATAATAAGCAAAGTATGCTTCTTGGGAAATGCTGGTCCTGCCCATTTATTCTTATTTACCATGTACAAGGTCTCGTCTGATGATAAGAATTGCTCTTCTGTCCTTCAAAATTATTGCCTTTGACTCTACCCATCCCTGAGCCACCCTTTTTCTTCCCACTTCTAGCCATTTACAGTATATTATCGCATTTAGTAATCTATCATGGCTCCAAATGCAGCGGACAAATGCCCCGTCATGGGCAACTCTGGGGAAAAGTGTCCAGTCATGTCGTCTTCAACCCAAAGCCGTGGCCCTAGAGATATTTACACACTTGAGGCCTTGTCCCACTTTAACCGTGAGAAAATCCCCGAGAGAGCAGTCCATGCCAAAGGAACTGGAGCATACGGAGAGTTTGAGGTAAGGACACCTTTCTTGCCTCTGTTTTCGAGAATTCTCACTAACACACATATTTTGTCGTATCTTATCAGGTGACTGCTGATATCTCTGACATTTGCAACATTGACATGCTCCTTGGAGTGGGCAAAAAGACCCAATGTGTTACTCGATTCTCAACAACCGGCCTTGAGCGTGGCTCTTCTGACGGAGTCAGAGATTTGAAGGGCATGGCTGTGAAGTTCTTTACAGAACAAGGAGACTGGGACTGGGTTTCACTAAACTTCCCATTTTTCTTTATCCGTGACCCAGCCAAGTTCCCCGATATGATTCATTCACAGCGTCGAGACCCGCAAACAAATCTTCTAAATCCCAACATGACCTGGGATTTCGTCACCAAGAACCCTGAGGCTTTGCACATGACGCTTTTGCAGCACAGCGATTTTGGAACCATGTTTACCTGGCGAACGCTGAGCAGTTATGTTGGACATGCCTTTAAATGGGTAATGCCCGATGGATCATTCAAATATGTTCACTTCTTTCTAGCATCCGACCGTGGCCCTAACTTCACCGACGGATCTACTGCCAAGGTTGATCCCAACGACCCGGACTTTGCCACCAAGGATCTTTTCGAAGCTATAGAACGGGGTGACTACCCCTCATGGACTGCCAACGTCCAGGTTGTCGATCCGAAGGATGCGCCTAAACTAGGTTTCAACATCCTCGACCTCACAAAGCACTGGAATCTTGGAACATACCCCAAAGGCCTCGATACCATTCCCTCTCGTCCATTCGGAAAACTCACACTGAATCGCAACGTGAAAGATTATTTCTCTGAGGTTGAAAAACTCGCCTTCTCGCCATCTAACCTCGTCCCAGGTGTAGAGCCATCGGAGGATCCTATTCTTCAAGCGCGTATGTTTGCCTATCCTGACGCTCAACGGTACCGCTTGGGGATTGATCATCTGAAAGCTCCTCTTCGTCGCAAGGAGACGGCTTGCCAACATGATCTTGGTCCTGAGTTCGAAAAATGGCTTTCCCAAGTTACCTCAGAGGCATGGTCACACCCACATGAAGATGACTACAAGTTTGCCAGGGAATACTATGAGGTGCTACCTGAGTTCCGTAGCCAAGAGTTCCAGGACAGGATGGTCGAAAATCTGTGCAAGTCAATTGCTCCGGGGCCAGAGGAACTCAGGAAGAGAGTTTATGACACCTTTGAACTTGTTTCATCGGAACTTGCACGTCGTCTCCGTGAGGGAGCAGAGGCCATTGTTGCCGAAAAAGCACGGCCTGACTCACCCTCAAGGGCCCAGCCTGGACAGTTGAGGTTGTAGGAAGCCGGACGCTGGAACCAGTTCACAATGTTATCTACGATGTTGTTATAGTAATATAATGGGGCTTCTCTGCAGGATAATTTAACATGCTTTAATCTGACTAAATGATTTCCCCTCGTTGACATTTCGGTTGACTGAATCTTTCCACCTTATTGAGCAGTGCCCTTATAAAAAATAAAGATTCCTGTGCCGAAGATCATATACAAATGTTGTAACTCCCAAATTTGTGCGATTTTCATTCCAACCGTAAGATTATGTGGCGGCAATAATCTACATGCAGCTCTTGTTGGCCGTGTTATACTCCGTACTGACTGCTGTTGTGGCTCCACAGAAATGCGTAATTCACGAGATTAAGCTTTCATATTTCCAAATAAAGTTACGTAGCTCGGCCCGCAAATTAACTAAGTGGGCCACCTCTTTCTTGGTCAACATCTCCAGATCGACGGGGATATACTCCATACAGGTAACCTCTGGAAGCTGGCCAGCTCCTTACGGCTCACCAAATCTTCCCCCCATATTCATTTTTCGCCGCCGCATTGCTACCACGTTATGACATAAACGTGAGCTAGTGGCTCGTGTTATAAGAGCTTTGGGTGGGCAGTAACTAATGATTTGGAAGTGCTGTAAAAATTAAAGGGCGACTCAGAAAGTTACATTGCTTGAAGATCGAGCACGCTAACCCCCTACTTAAGCTATCACAAAACCCCTTTGTAACAGGAACAGCGTACGGAGTTTTCCAATCACGATAGCTATAGGTCTCGGGTCACCAATGTAGCTGTATCATTGCTCATAAATGTGGAACAATTTTGCAACCGTCTTCCACTCGCCATCCACCTTTACCATCGCTAAATGATCTCGAAATCCTCCATTTTCCAGCTCTGAGTCAACCTCCACAATTGCCGTGGATGGTGTGATTGCAATAATATCCATGTGGTAAATTAGCTCTGGTGTACATCCTCGTTCAACGATCATATCAAACAGTTCTTGAATAGGAACAGTCTTCAAGTCCTTGTCAAGCCAGCCGTACATTCCAGCATTTGGGTGAAATCCCTTGCGACTGTGGTCAACATTGCCAGTTTTAAGTCCATCCACATAGTACTGAGCGGCTTTTATAACGGCTTCCTTCTCTTTGGTTGAGATAGGCTTGGTGTTTTTCGGAGTTGCGGGTTTCTCCATGGCGGATAAATGACCGTGTTATCGGCTATATAAACGTCAGCTCCACTTTCCTCAAACAAGACATAACATATACATACAAAAATAGTATTTGGGTTGCAGGAAATGGTTTTGAAGTGTAGGGAAATTCTGTTGTGGAGGAAAATTATCAGCAAACAAGATCAAAGGAGGAACCTCTCTTATATAACTTATCAATTTCAAGGACAACCGTCTAGTATGGGGAAATTATTCGACATTATCACCGCTCGGGTAAAATACCTTGCATACCGAAAAATCCACCAGTTTCTGTATCCCCTCACGCACGAAACATTTTGACTATCGAATAATAATAGCCTATCGACAACAGCCCTGGTCATACCGCTTGCATGATAACTCCCTTTTGACTAGATATTTTCTCAATGCAGTCAAGTCGCAAATATGATACCTCTTCCACGGGGGTCTGCTGCCAATTAAATTGCTCGGAACCACCTCATCTTTTCTTGCTCAAAACCTCGGTGGATACAAGAATTCGGTTTACGTCGCAATGCAGTGTAGTTAGCTGCACCATGCACTGCACACAGAGTTAGAATCCCAGCTGCTGTACAAAATATCTCTCTGGAAGATAAATTTAGCCCTGAATGAGCGAGCGCTAGAGTTTGTGGCGGTTTAACGAGAGTTTGTATGACAGTATAATTAGTCCTAGATTCCCCTGTAATTTCTTGAATGAGCTGGCTATGGAGTCAAAAAAAACCAATATCATTACGGACTTAGCAGGCTTTTGCTTTACCCAAATATTAGATATATCAAGCGGGGAAATTTTTCCTTTTATCATAATCGTGGTGGTATTCGTTGGATCATGACTCAATACGCCATTTACATGGGCACACTCCATAAAGTAGAGAGCTGCAAGGCATGATACCTCCACTTAATACTCACTACATGAAATTCTTTCCAGCCGTAGATAGTTTCAGGATTGGAAATACCTAGTGAATGTCTTCAGTCCAATACGCACCAACAGAGTGTCGTATTATAACTAAGTATGGTTATCGGATATATAAAGATGGGAGAAATTATCATCATCACATAAAGCAGCAGTTTAACCGGTTTGCTCTAGGATTTTCTGTTGGCTTCTTGCTTTTTTATCCATCAACTTTAACTAGTTAACAAGTTAGTTAACTAACTAGTTAGTCGGCTAACTTCTGGAGAGAGAGGGCGAGCGTGCAGTAAAGTAAGACCAAATATTCAGCACTTAGGATCTAATTTTGAGTCGCTGATAATTACTGAACCTTGGATCTACCAGCGTCAATCTCTCAAATATGAGAAAAGACGCCTTCCTTTGGGTGGAACTCCTCTTGAAATTAAAAGAAGAAGGGAAAAAAAAAAAAGAAAAAAGAAAAAAAGAAAAAAAAAAGGAAAATAATGGAGGAGAAGGATTCCATTATGTTGCCAACCGAGCAAGGGGGAATAGAATTGACAGGTTGACCAACAACCCCAACGCTGGAGGGGCCAGCTTTGGTTGTACTATCAGTTCCCCCACCTTACGCATGAGGTAGAAAGAAGCGGATAGGATAATTGGGCGATAACTGAAAAGGCGCTTTCTTGTGGCTGCATGTATGCCATTCGATGTAGTTCAGTTTGCAACCGCACAGGTCCCTTTAGATGAGCTCTTGATATTATTAGTCACATCACTGGAATCATCATACGGAGTAACCGTTTCGTACCGCACCAGAAAAGCGCTTCCAAAAGCAGGGATAACGGTCTTCTTCTCCCCCTCCTCCTTTCTTCAGTATTCGTAGGAAGATAAATACAGTATCATAGCCCAAAAATTTACATTCGTCCTCTGCGCCATTCGGCATTGTTGAAAATACTGTCCTCCTTCAAAATTTCAACACCTTTCCTTGTCGCAATTCAAATTCTTCCAGTCATATTGCAGGATGACTATTGCCATCGCGGGCATGGGCCCGGTCGGAGAGACGATCGTGGACACACTTTTGGAAATTCCTGAGTATCAAAAACAGGTCGTCATCCTCACACGCGTATGAAAAACCCACCTACTATCTTCACGGTGAATAACCCAACTAACACGAAGCAGAAAAGAGAGACTCGTGACTCTTGCAACCAAGTTGAACAGGTAGAGGTAGATTACAACGATGTCTCGTCTCTTGCCGCCTCTCTCGAGAAACATAATATAGATACCGTAATCTGCACCATTGGTATGATCTCTCCCGAGGCAGGCCAGTCTCAAGTGAACCTCATCCAGGCTGCGGAGAAGTCTTCTGTAACCAAAAGATTTATTCCCAGTGAATATTCATTCGTTCAATCAGAAGAGTAACACCGCCCACAATCCCGCAGCTTGCAAGAAGACCTACTGATAGCCCGATAACAGGATCCTTCATATCACTCCCGGAGTGAGCCTATATATTGCTGCAACCAATGCACTCAAGGAGACCAAATTGAAGTATACTCGAATCTTTCCCGGTTACTTTATGGACTATTGGGGTATGCCGAATGTCCGCACTCGTTTGAAGCCACTCGCTTATGCAGTTGATATCCCCAACCGCCGAGCTATACTCCCAGGTGATGGTAATAATGTCGTTACCTTCACTTATTCATACGACATGGCCAAGTTCATTGCAAAGTTACTTGGCACGGAGGAATGGCCAGAGCTTGCGTATATGGGAGGAGACGATCTTACTCTGAATGAGTTGGTAAAGATGGCGGAGGAAATTAGTGGTATGATCCTGACAGGCGACACTATCCTTATGTTCACGACTGAGCTAACTTTTTTTTGTTTTTTTTTTCGGGCTTCCACAGGCACCAAGTTTGAAGTTTCTTATGACCCTCTGGAGAAGGTAAAGAACAACGAGTCCACCCCTCTGCCTCAGTCGGACAAGGTGGTATACCCCCCCGAAATCGTCAGCTGGGTTGTTTCCTATGAGTCAAGTTGCCATTATAGACGGGTTCAAGCTACCGAAGGATAAGCGCATCAACAACATGTTCCCTGATGTTAAGCCAGTCAACATGCGGGAGTTCCTGACAAACGCCTGGAAAGCTTGATCACTCTGTCAACGAATGCGTTGATCGAGACATTGGTTTCTGGGAAAATCTCCTTGAATTAAATGCAGACACCAAGCCTCTTATGTAGTTAACTAGCGCCAATGATGAGATCCAGAAATCCGGCTGATGGGACATCATTAACAACTGCCTGTATATGCTTCGCGTCTTGTTTTGTTTATTGTTTATCGTCGATGTCGAAACGGTTGGCGTCGAGATAGAATTACCTAAGAACAAGTTTGCCGGCTTAGTCATCCGGGTAAACCGCAAAAGACCGCGGGGAACTTTCTTGCCTAGCCAATAGCAGTTAATAATAGCCATCCACGAACTAACATAACCCAGTGACTCCCGGCTTGACGTATAAATACACCATCTATGAGACGCATCCCGATGCTGGCTCGCCGACTGATTCCCTCCTGTGCTCAACTTCGCCCATTTCGACTCTCGCATCTAGCCGCAACCTCACCTTGCCACACGCGCACGCTTACCAGAACTGCGATCACGTCTCTCCCCATGGAGCCTGTTTTTACCAAGGACGCCTGTCCCCGTAAGTCGAGTCTCGCCCCTCCATTGCCCCGCCGGGTATTTCAGTCAAGCTACGAAGCAGTAGACTAACCGACCTTCTCTAGCTGCTGGCCCATACGTACGTTTCCTGCGTTGCTCTACATGAAGGTTATCACTTGGAAGCAAGAACTCGTCTAAAGCAATTCCTAGAGCCAAGCCATCAAGGCTGGCGGGCAGGTCTTCGTCTCCGGCCAAATTCCCGCCGACAACACTGGCAAGCTGCTCGAGGGAAGCATTGCTGAGAAGACTGACCTCTGTTGCCGCAACATCTGTGCTGTACTGACTGCTGCTGGCTCCTCCATTGATAAGGTCGTCAAGGTTAACGTATGCTCTCCTTGCCGTTGCGGGGCATATTGAACTCCAATTCTAACTTGTAATATCATTAGGTCTTCCTCGTCGATATGGCTGACTTTGCAGAGATGAACGGAGTGTTTGAGAAGTACTTCTCCCACAAGCCTGCTCGCAGCTGTGTTGCCGTGCATCAGCTTCCCAAGGGTGTTCCAGTCGAGCTTGAGTGTATTGCTCTCCAGTAGAGAACAAAATGTCAGCCCGGTGTACATTTAACCAAAAAAACAATATCAATTATATAACTGAATGATGAAAAACATACAATGGCATACACACATATGTATATATAGAAAGTCATGAATTATAGGACGATATAAATCCTCTATAGGACTAATTGATACTATTATGTGCCAGGACAAATAATAACGAAAAATTGGTATACCATCTCCATTATCCCAGCGCGTATCACATTCATGCAACCATCCTGCGCCCGAACGAGATGTTATACTAATTCCGGCGCCAAAAAAAAGTCGTAATAAAAAGAGAGACAGTGGGAGAGGAAAACATTATTCGTAGTACTTCAATACCGTGGCAAAGTTCCTGACATGCGACCTCCAGTGCCAGCCATCAGACTCTGCTTAACAATCAGGTCTGCAGCAGCTGCCGTTGCCAGCCGCTCCTTCTGCCTGCTTCGATCTCGAAGATAACCAGCGGCTTCCACTCGCATTCTAAGAATCCTTAATATCATATCATCGTTAGGCTCGGCCTGGGCCTCGCGCCGCTTCTCCTCTTTCGCTTTTTTCATTGTTCCCAGGTTGCGAGATAGAAAGATACTCTTCCCTCGTCGGGTGGAGAGAACTCCAGCGAACCCCGGAACACCTAGAGCCATGGTTGAGGCGGAGAGGCGGTTACGGTTCGCCTGCTGCCTAGCAGCAGTGGCACTGGCCATGCGCTCCGAGGTACGGATCAGCTGCTCCGTCGGTTCAAAATAGAAATAAAACAGCGTCTGTATCTCATGATACTTAGGGCTTTTGAGGACATCCATTGGTACCCCATTGGCTTCTCCTGTTTCTTCATCAACGGCGTTGAAAAAGGCGAGGAGTAATCCAAGCCAGGTTTGAACTATATCAAGTTCCAGCTGCGTGAGTGGCTTTTGATTGGACGGTTTGTCAGATAATGGTGGGACAAGGAGAGATTCAACGGTAGAAAGGACTTCTTTCCACAGTCGAGCCATAACGGTGCGCATAGCAGGGCCTGTAAGCGTTTGATTCATTATTGAAAAGTTGTCATCGAAATATGTAAAAAGAGGTGCAAGAGCGTTCTCAACCTCAGCTTGCGTCGGCGCTTGGCTTGACTGTGTCCGGTTTCGATTAAAATAACTAGAAACCGTCGACATGCTGATGCCACGGGAAAGAAGGGCTTTAAGAGCTCGCCGTGACAGGCAGTGATTGATATACGCCGATAGCTATACACCATGTTAACACCTAACATGTTGAATATTTGATGTGAGTAAGTCTTACCTTTTCTGTAATCTTTCTCGTCATATCCTTTTCCGTTCTCTTAAGCGTACGGAAAGCCTTGCCAAAATAAAACTGTATATCATCCCGCTCTCCTTCCATGCTAACCCTTAGGAGTAACCTTCCTTGGGTATCCAGGTCCAGCCAGTAGTCCCGTGGTGCGAAATCAGCAAAATGCACAGGGTCTAGCTTCATTGATGTTCTACCAACGTAATCGTGGTCTCCAACAGCGTCCCAGTCCCATATTGTTGCAATAATGTTCAGTGGGCCTTTTGTCATGATATCTACCGTATCGTCCCATCGTGGGTTGAGATTGTTGTAGATAATACGCGATTTGGAAATTCGCTTCTGGTATTCATCGGTTAATACAACATATGGGTCACTTAGGCCGTCAAGATCGCAGCCTTTCAAGTCTTCGGCCTCAACAATTTTGACAGTAAAGACATAATTGCTTATCTTGCGTTGCCTCTTCGCTAAAGGTGGTGCGTTCTTTGCCAGCACCTCGGCGCACGCATCAACGTTAATGTCACGTTCCAGCTGGTCGAATTTCTGCAGTGCATACTCAATGTTATTGAGTTTCACAAAGGACTATGAGAGGTTACTGTCAGCAGTCGTTTCCTTTAATTTGGCAAGGATATGGAAGGAGAATAGATAGTGGAGCAAGTAGATGTTACCATACCTCTGGAAAGAATTGAAATGGTTCAACCTTTTCCTTGCTACTCCAAGCATCCTTTGCCATTTGCATCCACTTTTCCTGCTTTGTCTGTCTTGCAGCAGCTTCTTGCTCCGGTGTTAATCTGTCCATCTCGCGACTAAATAGTCCCTCCAAAATTTCGCAATATCTTGCCATTCCATTACCAATCGACCGCGAAATAGCCGTCATGAACTTCGCATATCCTACATCATCGTCCCAATTCAATTGCACTATATGGTCCACAACCTGGTTGAATGACCGGAACACGTCTGTTACTGAAACACTATGCCGTTGTTCTTCTGTGGGTATCTCACCAGGAGAATCCGTTTGGACTTTGAAATTATCCTGTTTAACTGCTTGGTTTACCCAGTCATTCATTTTGGCATCTGTAACCTGAATCCAGCGCCAGACAAATTCCGCTAGCAGATCCTCAAGGTGAAAAGGGAATGATTCGCCAGGAAGGGCCTCAATGTAAGTTTGTCGAATGTTAGAAAGTTCACTGTATAAATCGAATCCATCTTGCATTTCAATATGCTCGTTCTTTTCCTGCGCTTGTTCCATTATCCGAATGATCATATCCCTTGCATCTTCAGCATACACAGGGAGAATATAATTAACCAGGACAGTAATAGGATTAACACTGTGAATAGAATGATTAGTATATCCTCTTGGCAAAATTTCCAGAAGGTAGCTCACCCTTGTATATCGGGATTCTTCCTGTAGCGCTTTTGTATCCGCTGACAGACTTTCATAACAGCCTTGCCGAGCTGGATAACGTGGTGGAACTCCCACTCATGCTGCTCAGGGGGAATCTCTTTATTTAGGGCCTCCTGGTAGATGGCTTTGGCTTTTTCTAGGAGCCCTTCGGAGGCATACTCCCGAAACCTCTCCCGCTCCTCCGTACTCTCCACAAAGTACGGATCAGATTCGACGTGATTCTCTAGAACATACATCACGGGTCCAATTGGCGGAATTTTTGTTTCGTAGCAGGACATCATTGTTTCGTACAGCTGTCGTAGCAAACCCTCATGTATTCCAGCTATGACACGTTGCATGCAGAATATATCCGCCTGTGTCCATTTGTTCCTATCGTACAATATGGGTGCTATGACTATGCTGGCACGCTTATTTTTGGTCGGTGGAGGATCCTTGACAAACGAGAATGCTGAATCGAGGGTGTCTAAGCTAATTTCCTGGTCCACGTACTTTTCCCGAATGACATCCAGAAAAAGAACTACTCGGGTGAAGTTAGGTATCCTCCAGCGTAGGCATATTTCATTAAGCAACTCTGTCGACTGCTTGGATAGTAATTTTGAAGCTGGAGTTTCTGAGGTAGCCTCCGATGCCTCAAGAGACTGGTCACTGAGATCATGTGTGAGCAGTTGGCTTAGCAAAAACCGGTAATAAGATCGTGGATCCGGGGGTATGAAAGTGAACAAGTTTGTGTCAGGGTGCTCATAAGGCTGTTCCTCCAGAGATAATGAGCTCATATCCACCGGCTGGTCGATCACGTAAGATGAGCCTTCCGATGCATTGGGATACGGATCCAGGTTTATGTCTTCCTCAGTTGGGTTGTCCGCCAGCTGAGCATTGAATTGTGGTAAGGTTGCACCTGTACTCTTTGCAAGCTCTGGGTTGGATTGGATTATGGCCAGCATCATCTGTGAGAGGTCCGGCCCCTCTGCCTTTCTCCATGCCTCATATCCCTCTTCAACCTCGAAATCGGCTACGGAGAGAGTACCCCCAGTATTGAGATTAAGGTGTGCTTGATATAGCTTTAAATCCTGCAGTGCTTCCTTCCCAGTCCAGGAATCTTTGTTCTTGTTAATATCCGACTGGACCTGGGAATTCCGTAAACCAAATG